TTGTAATGCAGTGAACATAATCTAATCCTCCTGGGGATCATCATGTTTGGCATAAGTAGTTCCTACTTTCAACGGAAAAAAAAGGACAGTAATTCCAATCTGCAATGATGCAGAAAAATTTTCAAACACATAAGCATATCATAGTGACCACTGAATGATGATGGTCTTCAGATGCAGGTCCATTGTGTGCTGCTTGTTAGAATGGAATAATGGACTGGTATTTTTGTTCCATACTGACCAGGTTCTATAAGGTCAAAACAAGAAGTTTGGTTTTAACTTTGTATTCACATGAAATATTATACGTAAATAGTCAAAAAACTCAAATAAAGCAGCCACTTAGGGCAATTCAATGTTTGTTAACCGAACAGGTGTTCTCAGAAAGTCAGTTTGATTTATCTGTTCATGAAAGCTCTGTGGTTTAACAACTAAGGTGTTTCTTCAACATATATTCATTTTAATAAGTCATTAAACATAGGTTCCATAAAATTACCTTCAAAAGTAAAAATCCCAATCTTTTAATCAAATTTTTAACTTGTATTTTATATATAGAAGTACTTTTAATGGAAATACCCATAAATCTTGTACTGAAAAAAGTAACTTTTAAAGTGGTAGAAAGTTAAGGCAGGAATGAGTAACAGTGATTCCACCTTGGGTGTGGTACTTTAAAATGTAGTAATATGTCTGTTTCAAAAATGCTTAGTGCTTGACTGGTATAAGTGAAGTGTAGATGGTAATCGTTAGCTTATATTGTATGCTTGTAGTAAAATATTGCAAAGGTTTACTGGTTTTCTGATTACCGCACAATAATAATACATTACGCTTCTATGGGTATGCACAGTTACCGATGTTATGTCTACGTTATCCGTATGTTTTCCACTGAAATAGATATGATAATCAATGTACAGAAGTGATGTCAAGTTATATAATGATCATGCATTGATGCATCACTAGTGAGCAACCACTCGCATGTTGTCTAATCCTGAGTGCTGACCAGATCCTACTGATCATTTTGCAATGTGCCCAAGAATCTAGGAGGCACATTACAGGGGTGTTCTCCGGTAGATGTTACTTGATGATTTTAATCAGCTTTGTAGCGTTGTGTCTTCTGACCATGGTAGTATATTCGTACAATTTTCAGAGTCCTTCGAGATAACATCTAAAAAATGAGGCATATAGACTGACTTTATTATGGCAATCTGAAATATGACTGATAACCTTCAGTATTTGGATCATATATATTTCGATTGACTGTTTCACTGAATGTAATTTTTTGATTACTAACGGCATATCTTGAAAACAGTTTTGAGAAGAAAAGCCTCCCCTCCTTATGTCCATAACCTGAGTTGATTAACTTTTGTATGCTTCCCTATTTCAGAAGAGATTTTTCTTCGTATGTTGGAATATTTCCATTGAATATATTAAAACTATTAAAATATCATGTGTTCGACGAGTAATTGTATCACTGGTGATGTGTTGCCTGATTTCATTCACAGAAGACAATATTTCACATGCATTTTCTGCTTGCTGGGATTAATCATCAATGGGCATTTGTAACTTCTGCGTCCCCTTGGCTCAAATTCTGATCATTCGCGAAATTCTGTGGATATGTTTTATTTACTTATATGCAGAATAAACATATATGATGAAGAATCTTTAATAGTCGTAGTAATTGAGTTTTAGCATCCTTGAAAATAAGTGACATAGGCTCAAGTCTTTTAACCCTCGTCAGATTTGTACATTTTTCAAATAAAACTTGCCTTTAAGTTTTATCATGTGCTAAACTAAGTCATATTGGGAATTATACTGGCTACGTTTAGCTTCATAGCTCAAAGTAGAGTCTTTCATGTTATTGAGTTACTTAACTTGCTCACCACACTGAAAACACGATCAATAGACCATGATCAGAAAACAGGGTTAGATAACACCGTAAGTTATCAATATGCGATCAAGTTGTGTACACATTTTAGCCATGGATCAGTTGTGATCTGAATATTACAATTTTAAAATTTGTGACTTCAACGGTGAGTGGACATAAATTTACACTTTTTGAGGGGAAAGTGAGTTGTTTAAAAAATTGCAGAAACTTCTCTCTGATGAGTATCAGTAAACACAAAACATACCTGTAGAACTTGTTGTTGATTAATTTTGACCATACAATACAAACTGTAAAGACAAATAAACATTCTACTTTGAATTACGCCATTTAATCTCTAGACATAAATTACACTCCTAAACTTTTTCTTGATTAGGTTTCCAAGCTTTTAACGTTTTAGTATCTCTTGCACTGAAATGGTCACAAAATGCGGTAATAGCATTCTTTTGTCAATTCGTTATTCCAATAAGCGATACTTGCGTATATGCATTTGCATAACAAATTTACAATGCAGAAGATTACTGATACGGAACTAAAGGATTTTGGTCAAAAATGAGTGAAAAATACCTATCTAACAGTTTTTTGGGGCTGTCGCTTTTGAGCTGTAAGACAAGGAATTATGTGAACCATGGAAGCTTATAAAAAGTTACACAAGAGTGCCATGAAGTAGTTGTAGTAGTAAGGCTTTTTTGTATGTGAAGAATGACCCAGTTAGGTGGTTTCAGTTTTCGCTGCTTCGCTTCCTTAAGAATATTATATTGTGACATCAGGGTGCCATTAGGCACCAGTCTAAGTGTATAAGCTAGGTATTGCGGTAGAATGTGATTCCATATTAGATTTGTTTATTGAATTTAAAACACACAGTGATATAGTATTATTCACTTTAAAACGTTTCGAGCATAAATTACCATTGCTCATAATCATATTAATGTAATCACACTACTTTCATAAATCGATCTTTTGAAACAGTTAGTCCCTTTTATGAATTTTGATAGCGTAATTAGAAGACGAAGTTTATCTGAACAACGTGATGTATTTTCGCAATATATTTCAAACAATCTGATCATACATTTACTTGTCAAGTCAATATACATTAAACCGAGGACTGGGAGGGGGGATAAATACAACAATTAACACAATAGGGGATTAAAATTAAGAAAGATGAGGACAAACAGGAAGTGACATAGTTGGTCCTAATCTTGGTAAGGAAACAAAGTGTACCAAGGTAGGTGTAGTGTAATAACAAACTGTTTTGTACACATAAAGGTGGTTTAAATTTGTGTATGGCTATGGCTTCCGCAAATCTCAGAATACGTCCCTGACTGTTTCTATATAAGACTTTGAAAGCTGTTTGAACATTAACTTTGTGGCCTGTTTCTATGATATGTTTAGCTATAGATGAAGAGGGTCGTCTCCCACCAGCGTTTATCACTGTTTCACACTCCATTTGTTTTTGAAGCCATTTAGGCACATGTTCTCCCACCTTCAACTGCATAACTCGATTACTCCTCCCTACGTATGTGTGACCACATACACATGTAAATTGGTAAACACAATGGGATGTGACGTAATTACATTGTCATTGTTCAAGACTATTAGCATTCTCTGTGACTATATATCCTCAAAAAACCTCCCATTTCCTATTACTGCAACCTTTCTGAAGGAGTTATTATTGCTGTGTACCGACTTGTTTAGGTTGAAATGCCTGTTTACGCAAATATCTGACGTGTTGAAAACCCTTACGTTAGTAATATGGAGATAGGGCATAGGGTGGGGTGAAAAATATTAGTAAATTCAGAGAGTTATAAGCCTTCATCGATTCCGCTATCTAGGGAATGTGAAATCCCTGTCAAGTCACTATCTGTCTCTTCACATAGTACTGGCTGAGGTGCGTTTAAGCTTGAGTTTAAGCTAAGAGTAGTCAGACTAAAACATGGTATCAGTCTATGAAGTCTCTCACTTGTAGTCTGAACCATCCAAGGAAATGTAGACTTCTCAATTTAAGGTCAGGAAGACAAGCTGCATTGGTGGTTAGGTACTTCAAGTGATGCCACTAAGAATTAATGGCAGTAATGCAGATGCATCCATACATTATCTACATGCCACCATTTTATTCTCTTCTCATGACTTTCTACAACTTTCGACTGGATTTTTTCTCTATGTGCTATTATGAAGTGTGATAACTTGGAACGTTTTTAGGTAATTTCCCATGATGATTTTGAAGTCTACCTTGTGATGCGAAATTAGGGAAAAGGAAAAGTTAAGCGAAGAAATCATTTCCAGTGATTTCATTCTCACTGGCTGTACAGTCGCAATCTATACGATATTTTTCCTCCATATTGAATAACTATAAGCTTGGTCTAATTAAAGTTAGTAACAAAGATCTAGTTGAATAAAGATTAAGATATCACCAGTGTGATATAAGCTGAGAACTAATCACAATAAGGTACAGAAACCAACGCAACTTATTGGGTAAAATATGAAGTTGCCAAATGCATAAAAATTTTCAAGATAAAGCATGATCACACGTAGTATGGAAACAAAATGAAGACAACGTTGTCTCAACAAAATATATTAAAAAATTAAAAAAATGTGATTATTGGAAGACAGGTAGAGGTCCATGTTTTTTTTAGCTATTTGCCAAGCCTAAGGTAGCAGAGTAAGTTGAACAGGTTTCTTTTGTGCAAATATTTCCTGTTTCTTCATTCACCAAGCACCTGTTTGGGAAGAATGCATATTGAGCGGTCTACATAATTGGTTGCACAAAAGTTAGTGAATTGATAAATAAATGTGGAGGTAGTCAGATGTGAAAGCTTATCCTTCAAGCTCCCAAGAAACATTGAACGGCAAATTATTTACCACCCGACAACTATTGATACATATTCTTTACCATTCTTACAGATTCGTATTATTTCATGAATCGACTGCGCACAGCATTAGGGAAATTCAAAGTTTAAACAAAATATTTACACAATCCCGTATATTTTACGTTATTCTTGAATACGATTATATGTAAAACTTGTAGTTAACTCTTAAGATAACCATTTATAATTATGGGAATAAAAATCCTTTTATTTGTCAACCACTGACTAATGGCTATATTACCCATGATATTTTTGTGTTCTAGCCATTGGATCAAAAGTCTATAACAAGTAATAACAACAGAGATCTTGACGTAAATATACCGTCAGCGTTAAAAGACCCAAACAGTAACACATTTGATGAGGGTAGTGAAGATAAAACCTCTGGGATTTTACAATCAGAGGAACGAAACATCAGTGAATCACAACAGAATATCTTCGGAGACAGCGATCTTCCTGTTGAATCAACTGAAGATATAAAGCAGTCACTGGACTCTGACCACAAATGCTCACTAAAGCATGTATTACAACTTGATGGGTGTGAAATAAAGTCCAGAGGTACCAACCAGGATAAGTCACTGCACAGGTACCTGTCAGATGCTCGATTACGTCGCCGTCAGAGACGTCGTATGTCTGAAGCTGAAGGTGAGTTTTAAAAGTTTTTCCTTAAAAGTATATAAATTACTACGTTCTTACGGTCATGACCATCACTATTGAATTAGATTGAGGTTTTCTTGCACCTGGTGGGGCTTTTATGGAAATTATCCTTGACTTATACTTTTTAAAAGTTCAGTTTCAAAATGTTAGATGTTTAACTATCTGTCTATCAAAATTACGACCGAAACAGGCTGGCTGGCTGGCTGGCTGCATTCAAGAAGAACAAATCATGTGAGGATCAAATTGCAACGCAACGCTACACTACGCACCACCATACAACAGAGAATAGAATGCAGTCAACCGGGTCTTTACCTCAACTCCATCGATTTTGAAAAGGCCTTTGATTGAGGCGTCTACCCAGAAGTAATCTGGCAAGCAGATGCTTCAACACTATGATTTAAGTGCCACAAACCTTCAACAATTATATGCAATATGACGATGCTACATGTCAAGTGATTCACAATGGAAAGCTTAGTGACGCCTTTGAAGTGAAGGCAGGAAGCAGTAAGACAAGGCTGCCTACTATCACCCATCATCTTCCCGATTGTGATGGACTGGAATCGACTTGATCATGAAAGAAACTGTGAGGAGCTGTGAGAGGATGGACATGCGCTAACTGGACTAATGAAAAGACCCTCGAAGATTTAGATTTCGCCCACGATACTGATTTATGTCCAATGTCTCGAAGATCTGCAGGCGAAAACTAACAAGTTGACAGAAGAGGTGAGGCAGCAAAGGAAGACGGGACTTCCTTCAGGTGAACGTGGAGAAGACAGAGGCGATGAATATATACAACCAGCAGCAGCACCACCACCACCAACAACAACAATAACAACAAGAACCAATCACCATCAATGAGAGGAATCTGAAGGAAGTAGCCAGTTTCACTTACCTACCCAAGCAGCATCCTCTCAACTATAGGTGACAGCGGCTGCACAGATGAGGACGTCAAAGGCAGGGTCGGAAAGACAGCCAGACTGACCTTCCTCCACTAACCTGAAATCAGTGTGGAGATCGACTGCACTCAACATAAAGCGTCAACAACATCTAGATTTCGAACACCAATTCAGTCAATTGAGTCAATGCTTCTATGTGATGGTTGAGAGACTTGGTGGTGCGTTACGAAAAGCATTTCCAAAAAACTGCACACATACATCATCAACAGCTGCCGCTGCACACATTCACTCAATACTGAAGATCAGATGGCCAGAATAATAAGAATAAGCAACAAGGAACTGTGGTTGGCCGGCTGGCTCGCTGGCTGGCAACGAACCAACCAAGAACCCATTGCTGGATAAATATGCAGAAGAAAGTGGAGATGGACTGGATTGGACATACACTGAGAGGACCGATTGGGAACTTCACGTGTCTGGCCAGGCTATCGAGTGGAACCCAAAATGGAAACCATGAGTTGGGCGTGTGAACGAGGGTGACATGGGTGAGATTGTGTGAGGAAGAGATAAGAGCTTGTTGGCAGTTGAGGAGCCAGGTTTTGAAGACTGCAGAGAGTAGAATGAAATGGAGAGATGCTACTGAATCTCTATGTTCCACTAGCATCCAAAGGATAAATAACAAATATTAATAGATGTTTAACTATAGATTGCTAGTCCTAAATACTGATCTACTAAACTGTTGCATCTATAACTTAAGCATTAATGGAAATATTGAGTTGGTGCTTACCTAACTGCACCTAACTACACACTCGAAAGAATTTGCTATCTTAGCTTGAAACTTAATACTTGTGACGCACTATAATCGAATGTCAGTTACTTAGAAAGATTAACTGAGTGAATTCATAAAAAAACTAATCAACTAGCCAAATGAATGCCTCAGTATGTCGTGTACAGTCACTCATGTACGAACAATGTGACTGAGATAACATAACTTTAAACTGTACGTCAGACTAACACTAGTCAACCAAAGTTAGTGCGAGGGTCAATAAGCAGCTAGTGATTTCTCACTAATAGGTATACTGAAAGCTGCTTTTCTGTTCGTTATAACATGTACTACGTAGCTTGAGATCAGTTCATTCCTTAAACAAATAATTTAGTCTTCGGATATCTATATCGTGTGCTTGGTTTCCATTTAACTGCCATCAGTGTATGTTAATTTACACTTTTACTAAGTTCTGCATGACAGATGAGTGTCTTTTTTCAAAAATTTGCAATAAAATTTGGATCTTCTGCAGATTTCGTTGGTTTCAAGATAATAATCATAAACTGATATCAGCTCAAGAGCCACTGAAGACCTTGGAGCATTGGATAGCTGTTTCATCCTAGTGTGGGACTCCTCAGCACTGCTCACCCATAACCTCGTCAATGATCGAACGGAGAAGCTTAAAGTTCGGCGGTGATCACATTGCCACTGAGCCACTGGGTTGGACGATGAATACCGACCTGAAGCCTACATAAAACTGACAAGTTTCGGAATCAAATTACTGTCCAGTGCCCATTAGTGACTTGCCTTACGATGAGATTTCTGGAAGTTCTACAGAGAGGTTGTGGCTGGCGGGTTAAATTAAGTACAATGTAGGGGCAGGTACTTAAAAGTGACATTGAACGAAGTTCGTCCCATATCACGAAGTCAAAGAATTAAGAAAATCTGATCCACTGACTTTTTGTTAAAGTAATGAAAGATATTTTGGGAATACTGTGCAGAATTTTCAACTTTTCATATACCATTACATAGACAGAAACAGCTTTTAGGTATAACAAAATAAAATAAATTGAAATTATACACGACAAAAATGAAAATTTCCTTAATCTGCAACTTTCTTGAAAATCTAGAGTTAACTTTTGTAAACAATTACATTAGAAATTACATTCATAGTACATCAATAACAAGAAGCTGTATAATCCTTAATTAGTTTTCAAAAACAAAAGTCGATTAGTTGGTTCATTTCTACTTCCTTCTTCATCGCCCAGGAGACGAACTAAATGCGGTATGGTAGAGTTTTATATTTAGAAGTACGCTCATAAAGTCCTATATATTTGCTCTTGGTATGCGGGACAACCAACAAGCAGAAAGCTTTGAGTGAAGAAGATGCTAGTCATTTGATAACTTCTACTAGACTTTTATTTGAAGTAATATGTTTGTACCCAACAGTCTCAACTAGAAAGCTTAGAGGTACACCACCACTTCTGCTGACAGTCTTCAAAGTTCTGTGCAACACAGCATAGTCTTTTCTCAGCGACCCAAAAAAGAATAAAGGAGAACAACAACGGGGAATAGGCAAGATGTATGAGTTCATAAAACACAAGAGAAGAGGCTGAGTTAAACTAGATACTCTCAGCTTCCCAATATAGGAAGTTAGTTGAACGATTCATTTGAAAGTTAGTAAGATATGAGAAGACCAAGAAAAGTCCGAAGAAAAATGTACGCTAAAATAAATTACACTTGTAACATTCTCCAATACGTAACCACCAATAGAACAGGAAGCATAAGACCTAACCAGTTTACATAAGTTACCTTCATGTCCGAAACTGAAGTTTATCATCTGATACGTTGAAGAATTAAGCAAAGACCATTAACAGATGAGCATAGTAGATAAGAAATCTTTCCGCTGGAGGCAATCTGTTTGTTGAAGAGGAGACAGCCTATTTGATAAAGTTGATACCAGTTGAAGATGGTAACTCATACAGCAAGAAAGAGGAAAGAGACCAGACAGAAGTATGGTCATGTCATTAAGCGATTAGGTAGGGTTCTTCTTTCTGAACAGTATGTTATTTTCTTTCAGTGAGAAAGGAATCCAGCCGGTTTATTATCCAGAACTCAGTATTCGTCCCAACTAGCATGTCCAGTAGGAGAGGTTTGCGGACAAAATCAAATGCTGAAGTATACTCTAAAAAGGCACACCTGACTTCCTTTGCATTCCATTGGAGGTTGTAAACAATATTGTGATATAAGACAGTGATGGCATCTAGAGTGCTTCTTCTGCTTTTGAATATAAATTGATGAAGGTCTCCAGAAACCTTCAGTGAGGCTTCAGGCACAGGTATTGTTAGCTTCCCTATTATTTTCAAGAACTGGAAAGTAACTGTAATGGGATGGAATTTCAAACATGCACCTGGAATCACCGACTTAGGTACGCGGACCATCCGAAGCAGCAATTACAGTTTTTTCCGAGAAAGATTTACTAAATAGGTTAGTTAATGGATAGCGTAATATAACAGCACATTGCGTGAACATGAAACTTGACATGTCATTCGAATCCAACCTGTGTGAAGGTTTCAGGTATTTGAGACACTAGAAAACCACTTTCTGGGTGAATTTCAGAAAAAAATCTTTGTTAGAAGTGGGGGGGGGGGAAGACAGACTGAGATGAGACAGCTGGGTTGGCGGATAAACGATTTGCTTGGGGACCAAACATCAACGCGTTTCTCTTCACTAAGGTATGTAGTACCACTTAGGTCTTTAGAGGGTTTGCAAAATACTGGGAGGACCTCCTCATGAAGACATTTTCCGGTAATATAATAGATTCACGCATACAATTGCCAATCTAATTAAAAGGCTCAGTCAATGAGCACCAACATTGCCACTTACTTTATAGAGCCTTTCTTTTTCTCCTCTTGGTTTCTTAAGTTCACGAAAAGATATTCGAACGAAGCATACAAATAGTTTTTCACTGGGCAACAGATATCCAGGCAAAACTTGACATAACATATCACATCATCAAAAGTGTCGTTCAAAACGTCTGTCAGAAATATTCCAGTCTGTACACTGAAGCATTTCTCTTAGAATAAGTACGTTACTATGTGAATAGTTTCTCTGTACAATTTTCTTATATGTGAAGACAGTTTTGTGTAGCTTGCCATATATTTTGGGCAGAACACGTATAATGAATGCAATGAGCTGAGCTGAGCGATGGGGCTATCCTTCGAGTTTAATATATATACCAGTATCCTTGACGAGTACCAAGTCTAGTGTTGCATCCTGACATGTTGTGAAGTTAACAAGGTTTTAATGACCAAGAGTTTTGAGAAAGTTTTGGTCACAAGAATTGAAATCACTACATGTTATGGACAGGGAACAACAGAGTAAAGGGGCTGCTAATTCCGTGAATATATCAGAGAAACTAGAACAATTCGGAGTAGCCACAACCAGGCGTCACATAAATATTTATGGCATAAATAAAGTGATATTTCTTCAAATGTTTTAAGCGAGACTTAACAGTGATGTGGTTTATGTAATCATTTGAGAATTTGAAGCATATATGACCCGAAACGCAACACTGGATATTGATGAAGGTACCTACACCACCTCCACATTTTTTAGTACATCTACATCGATTCCTATGGAAAATCTTGAAACCATTTACAGAAACTAAACTACCACCATATTATGCGACTAAGTTCCTTGTAATATGATTACTCTAGCATTGCGGTATATCTTGAAACATAGAAGAGTTTGTAAGTACTCTACTTTTGTATCCAAGGTCCTTCAGTTCGTGTCTAGAATTTCAGGCAGAATCACTTGCGATAAAAATGCTCACTCCAAACCATATTGCCAACCTGCTTGATAAAAGCGTTTTAATAGTTTGTTGATTTTTTAAAGGTGTGATTGCATATTTAGTACGGTCAGAGAATGTAATAAAATGATTAACAGAAACAAAAGCGTGGAAAAACTTGACTCAGTGTGTGAGATGGGAAATTTAGCAGCCTAGATATTTATGCAGGCCACCAAGAAGCAGTGGTTCAGCCACAACATGCTTGCCGTAGAAATTGATTGTATTTGTAACTTTTTATTTTGAGAGTATCGTTCAGAGTAATCTCTGTAGTAATGTGATCACATAGGACGTAATCTTGTCTAAAAATGAGTGAAAATGTTGAAATTAAAACTGCATCTCGATAGGTCAGCATCATCTGACTTTCTTCTAAACTCAGTGGAAATAGGGATAAAACTCAAAGTTCAGTTGAACGGAAAATTAAGTTCACTGATAACTCATCAGTGGCAAAGAGGATAATTACTTTGCAGCGAAATGATAACAAGAAATGCTGACAATAAAATTGGAGAAATCATCCCTAGATCTAGGGTTTAATTTCAACTTTGATTGTCATCCGGCTGTATAAAGAGCTGTTTGCCTAGCTGTAGGTACGTCGTATGGTTTCAAAGGAAGCGTACGGTGGATATGAATAGGCTATATTCCATTACTTACGCGGTTGTAGTCAACATGCCAAAAAACACCTAGCTCCGAATCCTTCAGACTACAGAAACAGTGGAAATCAGGATTAAACAACCTGAATTATGTGTTTACAAGAAGCAACTGTCGCCAATACAACTACTTTGACTCGATTCAAAACCCACTAACCCCCTAGCATCCTATCGAATGCAGTCAAGTTTTCTAATTCCATGCTATAGATACCCGTTCGTCCTTATAATCTGAAATACTTTCATCACATTCTCCTAGCCTATTTTGTTCCCTAGTATGTGTAACATTTCATAAGTCTCTTATTCTTCAAATTATCTATCTTTGTTTATCGCATCCTACTTTCATACACATATTTCTATTGTTCTATTATAATGTCGTCCTATAGTATAACATAAACCGCGTAAGTGTTTGCAAAGTCAGTGACGTTGAGTTGAATTCCTATAATAATTGATCCTGACATTAATGTTCACACAAGAATTTTCTGAAGCGATTTTCTCTACTGTAAAATGTTTTCACAACCTGTTAAACAAAATATCACTATTGTTAGCACAAAATTACACAAAGTGAATATATAACTATGGTTCCTGAAGAAAAGTTTATCTAAAAGGATATCCATTGTTCATTTAATTAGCTTTGAATCAAATATTTCTCGATGACTCTCACGCTTATTGTCCTTAAGCATTCATTTGATAACCGTTCCCAATCCGAACTAAATCGATATTAGCCAAAAGAAAAGCTCACGAATGAAACAAATTGTATGTCCCGCAGTAACTTGAATTCTTATCTGCATACGAAAGGTGCAAAAAAGTCATCATGGACATAATCCACTCTTCAAACAATAAATATTTATTTAAATATAAGACCAAAGTTATAAGGCAGTCAAGAAGTTATGAGAAGTCAGTGTTGATCTGAAGTTCTGTTTGCATAACCAGGGAATAACGAGGATTAGGAACAATACTTATGAGTAAGTGACAGGACTGATAATTTAAAAAGAGAACTTGTCCACTCTGACAGAGTATAACTCCATAACAAGGTAATGGATTTGATTTTACGTGCTGGATGACATTTAGAGAACAACAAATTGCTTATAACCCTATCAAAGTAATCACACAAATTTCTTAGTTTTTACAGTTCACTGCTTTTCTTTTTTTGATTTAAGTGGTAGTAGAATTTGTTGTTGTTGTTGTTGTATCCTATCTATTATTGAAGGGAATTTAACTCAAAAACCAAATTCACACTCTTTCACTTGTTCATAGGCCTTAGCTGTTATCTGAGAGTCAACCACAGTAGGTGGAGTTCAATCTAAGCATGTCTAAACACTAGTTCAGAATTGAATACTTAGACTGTTACCTACTTTCAAACAAAAGAGGTGTAAAAAAAGTTCTTACCAGAAAATTGACCATATAAACTACAGATATTCGATACCAGCTTAAAGTTAACCTTCTCTGAGTCATTTTTTACGCATTATCATCATGATTTCTTTAAGTTCACTAGGTTTGCATTTTATTGTATTTTTCACAGGTGACCAACATCACTTTCAACTTTTTCAACATGAAAATAAGCAAGAAAGCAATCTCATTCATAAGTCTTTAGATTCTATTGATGCGTGCAATGATAATAACAATAATAACCGTAATAAACTATCCAAAACCCCAAAATTTCATTCCCATTCATTTCGTGTACTACCCGTATCAATGTTGCCCAAATTACGAAAGCCAGGTAATCGAGCTGATAGTGATCCTGGTGTTCATAAAGTAACTAAATATGATATACTGAATAATGATTCTGAATCCAATGAACACAAAAGTTCTGAATTATCTACTGACCAAATAAACTGTGTTACAACATCAATCACTCCTGCAGTATTCAACTCATCATCAGATATTAGTAATATTACAAAGGTATTATGTTCTTTTTGTGCAACTTTTTGTTTCATTCTGCTGTATATTGGAATCATGAAAGGTGTGTAGTTAGGTGTAGAGGTTGATGAACACAACCTACCAGTTTTGATACAGCTATCTGGCGAGGGATACAATATTATGTCAATATAAATAATATCGAGCCAGTTATTGATCACTGATGCTTGTAATCAACTGTTTATCACAGAAGAAACAAGTCTACCATCTTAATCAATACGTGGATTATGGTTTCTGATGTTTTTTTTGCCTCATTTTCTACATTTGATAAGTTGCCTAACTTATTTACTGCATTAAGGGTTATTTTATAAATAGAAATGTTTTTAAGTTTAATTTGCGTTAGAGTAGTAGTTTCACCAGGCTTGAAAGTATGTGAATCGTAGATTGATGTAAATTTTCAAGTCAGATGTTCGACCATTGTTTTCATGTTCAAATTTACTATAGCTCTGATGAGAAGAAGAGCTAAGATGATTGGTGTTCCATTGAAAGGTATGCTATCAAAAAGGTTAGTTCAGAGAACATTTTTGTCGAAATATTTTTTATATCATTCATCTTATTAAGTGAGATACTACAAAAAGAATTAAGCCTTGAAATACCTCATAATTACATACAGCGATAGTGATAAGTAAAAATTGAAATATTTTAGATGTCAGGGGCCAGTCATCAGTAGGTTCTGAAACTTGATTGTGGGCTCCTTGGCACTCAACAGCATGGCTTTACTGAAACCATGAGGATACAAGTGTTCCCTCGGTGTTTTCAACCTACGTTAATCAGTGTTGATCTAAAGACCTTACCATTAAGCTTTTCAGTGACCTGCTGTAAAACTGCATTAAGTACATGGAGTGAAGGCTTTTAATTGAAGTGTTTTTTGCTCATTTCACTAGTTTCTTCTCATTCGTCTGAAGCTAAACATAATAATGGCTATATTCAGTCACTTTTAGGCTAAACTTGAAGTTTATTAGATCATTTGATGAACGTACTGCTTCTAAATGAATTACATCAAATCCCCTGAACTATTTAAATAAATGAGCTTCTGAGGTGATAAAGATCATGGCTGAGAAGATTTGAAGAGCCAGTGAAAATCTGCTAGCACTGTTTTCTCCTTGTATAGTGGACTCTTCCATAGTGTGTATCAATGACCTCTCCAGATATGCAGTCTAGGACCTTCAGGTCTCGTGGAGAACCCCTAGAGTCAACAACGGTGCGGAAAACTGCAAAGATCTGAAATTCATGTGTTGTTTACTGAAACAAGCTGACGGTAGCTAAACTTCGGAATATCATACCAGATTTTCTTAAAACAACTGTATACTGATTTCTAAGCATAAGCAGTTTATCACAAATCGTTTCTCTTTACTGAAAAGTTCTCGAATTAAATTTCAAACATGACTGAATTCATTATGTCTTTAGCTTTTCCAGGATTAGTTTAACTGAGTCAGATGATTGCTGGATGAAAATCACCTAACTCAAAGAAATGAAGAAATGGTGGAATGTTTTTTAATTAATACAGACGATCATTTAAGGGTATATTATCTGTAAGATAGGTCCTTCTGTATGATTCAAACTACACTAGTAAGTCGTATCTGACATTGCACACTAAATCCCTTCCAACAATGTTGCAAACTTCAGAAACGTAGGTATTAGAACCTAAAAATGTGGTGTCTTTACTGACCTCACTTGGCGCTCATTTTACCGTCATGGAAGGGAGGGATCAACAGGCAGAAAAATCTAAGAAATGAAAATATTTTTGTGTATTAGAGTGACTAGGTGGAAGTGACTGACAGAATAATCTGAAATATGAGAACGCTACTAACACAGCGCAACACCTGGACAGGATAGGAATACCAAGTGCTCTCCACCAGAACCTTACACTTCACTTAGCTGCAACAATCAAAAGGCAGAGAACAGCCTGTGATTGTATGAAAGACACTTCATTTGACAAAAACACACATCATTTATATGCAGTTTTCCTCAGAATTTAAAGTCACCAGGTCAGAAGTTGAATACTTATTTTGATTGGTTGGATGTAGGAAAATATTGTCCAATAAGGTTTTCCATGCTCATACAGTTACATGAAACAAGGTTGAAATCCAAATCTTCCACCTTAGCAGCTGCTGACTTAGAATGGTGATTTCAATTTAGGACGTTTCTTATCATATATACTACTTAAAAAGAAGTAGGAAGAGACTAAGGTTGAAGAAGGAAGCATGGAATAAAAAGTATGAATTTATATGCTATGCTGGGGATAAAAGTTACCTTATCTCACCTAGATTCTCTAGTCACTAGCTTCGGTCATCTCAGTGACTCTGACCGAAAAGCAACTCATAGATGGATAAATATTGGGTTCAAGAGAGATACTTTAGCAGAATCGACCGTGCAAAGCACTGAAGAAGACCTTCTTTTCAGCTCAGATTCGGATGATTTTCTCTAGCCAACAAGTGGTCCCAGGGTGGGTATAGTATAAGTTACCACTTTGGACCACCGTCATGTGTGTCCACTAATTCACCTGCTCTTGTGGAGCTGGACACAAAGCGTGTTCTATCCAAATGCATCTCCAAACACTATCCCGCATAGCTGCCTAAAGGACAGTGTAAAACTATCAACAGCTCGATTCTTGATCATTTGGTTATCTCTGGCCTTTATACTCCACAAGAGTCACCCTTCAGAGTCATTTATAAAGTGAAAGCAAACATTTCGAAGTGAGTATGCATCCTCTACATCAACACACTAGAAGCTATGGAAATCAAGCATTACAAGCCTAAATTTTGTGTTCAAAAAGGATACATTCAACCTCTAATTTTGTCTTGGTCGTAATCTCCCTAAGATAGTTTATTCATTTCTTTGTTTAATTACTATAATCCTATAAACAATTTTTGATAACCTTGATTTGACCTTTTATCTGTTATCCCCATGTGACCTTATTCATCATTTTTGATGACCTTGCAGTGACCTATTTGCTATTCATGGACATATATATTTTGTTGCAACTAGGATTATGATGTATGGCTTTTAAAAATGCTTCGCTGAAAAGAAAATTACCTTCGCTGAATTGTCTTTTATTATTTTCATTGTCCAATGGGACTATTTTGATTGTTAAAGTAAACTGACCTAACCACAGACTTGCGGGTGATGAGTCACAAATTATGACGAGACAGCTTTTCCGCAGTCAAAAGTACTCATTGGATCTTTATATACTATTAATCAAGGATGAAAACTTTTAATGTTTAGATTTGCCTACTTTTTACTAATCATTTAAACTATAGTCAGAAAGTTGTTTTTAAGTCCTACTGCTTTTGGGTAGCATAAAACATCTAATAGTTAATAGCAGTTTGTTACATTACGTACTTGTAAACTAAAATCTAGAAAGTATGTACTATGAGACTTTTGCAATTTGTTTTTTTCTAAGAATTCATTAGTATCTGAGTGTAAATCAGCACCACAAAAAAATGAAAGAACTTCTGAAAATATTATTAGTAAAAATCACACTGTTAATACTACCGGGACGAGTAATCTCTCAAATATCTTCAAAAAGAAGGATTTGACTACATGTACTGAAATTCATAATGATCACAACGACGATAGGGAAAATGGAATAAACAGCCAGTTAAAATGTCAAAAGTAAGTTGACTTTAATTCTATGTATTTAATTATTTTGATTTTAACTTATTATTATTATTAGTCCCTTGGGTTCCTAATGGAACATAGGGCTTCAGTAGCACGTCTCCATTCCAATCTGTTCTCTGAAATCTCCACTTCCTTCTGCATATTTGTTGAGCGATAGCTTCTTGGTTGGTTCGTCGCCATACCAGAGTTCCTTGTTGCTTATTCTTTCCGGCCATCTGATCTTCAGTAACGAGCCAGCGTAGGCAGTAGTTGGTGAATGTCTGTAGTTTGTTGGAAATCCCTTTCGTAACGCGCCAAGTCTCCGAACCATACAGAAGCCCTGACTTGATTGACGTTGGTGTTTAAAATCCGGATCTTGTTCCACATGCTGAGTGCAGAAGATCTCCACACTGGTTTCAGGCTAATGAAGGCCTGTCTTGCTTTTCCGATTCTGGCTTTGACATCCTCGTCTGTGCCGCCTGTAGTTGAAACAGTGCTTCCTAGATAGGTGAAAGAGGTTACTTCCTTTAAGTTTCTCCCGTTGATGGTGACTGGAGATTTTTGTTATTGTTGGAGTCGTTGGTGCGGTATCTTCATCACTTCTGTCTTCTCTATATTCACCTGAAATCCCGTCTTCACTGCTTCTTCTGCCAACTTGTTAGTTTTCGCCTGTAGATCTTTGATTTTAACTTATTTGAACAAATTGGATAGAAACTTAATAAGGTTTTATACAAAATAAATCAAATGTTAGATGATAATGTGACTAGAAAGTTCTTAAACAAACTGTTAGGGTACAGGAAAGCATGAATAAAGTCAGAATTTTGGATGATGAGGTCCATAAATGCTAAAACATTTTCCATAAGACATGGAGTTCTTACATTTGAACTCATCTGAGTTCAAGCGTATACACAATAGAACATCTGAATTGTACTCCCTAACTCTCATCTGTTTTGTTACTGATGGCCGTCTGCGATCAAAATTATAATTAAAATTTTTAAAAATTAAGTATGATTTAATTCAACTTATTGCGATAGTTTTAGCCGCGTTCATAAGGTTCACTTTTCGAAGTTCGTAGATCTTAGTCAATGAGTCAGTTAGTATCAAAGTGAGAGTAGGCATTGTTGCATAAGGATCCAAGTTGAGATGCCTTATGTAAGCATGTCAAGCTAGAATACATCAATACGAAAGCTGAAGAAATGAGGAAATGAATAATCGAAATTGTTGCAAAGTCGTAAGAAGCGAAGAATAAAGAATAAAATATTGGTGAAATTTGGTTTGATGATTAATATGATGGTAACTTGTAGATGCATCTGCATCAATTCTGAACTATACCACCGATTTCGGTTTTCATGAGAACCGTAACCGAGAAGTCTACACGTTCAGATACATCTGAGAACAACAGTCAGAGACTTCATGCAGTGATATCACGCTTTGGTGTAGCCACCTAAGACGTTTTTCTAGTTTGAACCTTCTTCAGCCAGCATTGTACAACGAAGCGTAGAGTACTTGAGCATGCGTAGCATATTTTCCAGTCATCAACAACAGTAGTGGCATAGGAACTTGAAAGGTAGTATAAAGAATGGATTATTCAAAATGACTGGCACCTACTGGTGAGATTTCTGGACAGCAGTGTTTGTGACTGAATTTTTTAATCTGAAATACTATTGTATCGAGAAAGAATCTACTTCCAGAAATGAAGTATCATATATCACTTTGCCATGTATTATTTTCACTTCATTCTGGTGAATGGAAACCTAACCAGTATATAAGTATCACTACCATTTTCAACTTTGAGATCTGTAATACACAGGCAGCCAAGAGACTTAGGCAATAACGGGTAAAATCTGGGCTTGTTGGTTAAAATGTTCTCATTTTTTACGAAATCATAAAAATTAAGTGTCTTGTTATATTTACATAGGTTACTCTCTATATTCCACGTTTTTATCTTACGAATCCTGATAATCGTTTTTATTTTTTCGCTCTAGTTATTTTGTGTTTTGTAGGTAAGACAACAGCAATGTAAACCGACAAACTTATATCCTGAATTTTTTGTTCATTCAATATCTGAGGTGATCTGAGATCATTTGGTTGAGCAAGTTAAAGTCGTGAGATGTAACTCATGTGTATGAGGATTATGGGGAAATGCAATTGGTGGGCAATTGTTATTTGTTGACCAGACTACAAAATAATTAACATCACTCAGTCAGCACTTAGGACTAGACAACACGAACCTTGTTACTTTGCAGTGACCAGTCTACATAGCTGTTATTTGAGCTTAATTTTTTAGGCAGTTAAAATTACTGGACTTGAATGTACACTCCTTTCATGTAAGTCTAGAGGTAGCGACTTTTGAGTTGATGAAGAATACTTGTAGCTCAGGAGGATGATTTTGGTGGCGTATTCCCTGAGCTGGATGGCATAATAATGAAACTTTCTGTTGTGATGCCCCAGTTTGGTATAAAACAATGTTATCGATCTAAACGTTTTTAACGTGTCATTCCCACACCATTTTTACGGTATGACTAGTAGTCTTACTTTCTGTTCCCATTGTAACGTAAATCGCTAATTGGTTAGTGTTTACTCTTACTATACAAATGCCTCAAATTAGGGACAAGGTCATTTTTCATGTGTGTACTTATTCACGTGTTTTGGGATTGATTTTATGATTATATTCTCGGAGTAATACACTCTCCCATCTGCCAGCTTCGGTCTTCTCTCTATTCGTCACGGCGTTGCAGTCACTGACTTTTGCGTACTTAGTTAGCTGTCAGCTAAGCGTGCGCATTCAATATTCGCTTCGGAATATAAATAACCATTAGCATTCGAACCCATAACACTTTCACTGTCATTTCAGACGGCATCATCACAAATTTCAGAAAGAAGTTACCTATGTGGTTTTCTCCATAGGGTGCTTAGTAGCTGGTTCTGATGTCCTTGCGTGTGATTGGTTGTTTCTGTCAAAGTCTTGTCATTGTCTCCATATTTATTTCGATTGGTTGTCCTACTGATGTGAATTTTGACCTCCTTCTTGTTTCTCGTTGGTTGATAGATTAAGTCAGTGTAAATATGTTTAGTAAAACAAACAATGTGAGCGAGCGAAGAAATATTTCTTTTCCATTAGTTCCTCATCAATGGCTCTACACTAATATAGCATTTTCAAACGTAAAATTACATACCAATCTAGTGGTGAGAGTTGTTCAGTGAAAGGTTATCAATCTCAAAGTTTCAAGAAGGTGATAATTGGTCAGGTAATTAAGACAGTTAGCTAAAGCAAAGATTAATTATCGTAGAAAGATTTTGCGAACAGGTTCTTACATAATTGATGTTTTATATAATGATAACTAAAGAGCAAAAATGAACTGTTACGTAAAATGGTAAATTGTTGACGGTAATTAGAGACAGTAGGGGGAGAGAAAGATGATTAAGTCTGTAATAATAATAATAATAATAATAATAATAATAATAATAATAATAATAATAATAATAATAATAATAATGGAGCTATTGAAATACTAGTTATAGTGAATTGTGTGGTGGATGAAATGAAGAGTCTTGTTGTAATAAATGAGCTATACAGATGGCCAAGGCAAAGAAAGAGGCTGTACGAATCTCTTCTGAACACACAGACTTGGCTTGTGTAGGTGGATTCCTATGGCTTCTGCTGTATGTAAAAGACGGACTCGTAGAGGATGGGTGAGCTGAGAAGGAATGTGATAAATAACTTTAAAGGCATTATGAATGTTAACTCGGTGGCCGGTGTCAATCAGATGAGAGAGTATTGAGCTTCGTGTCAGTCTGGTTTCCCCCTTACTTAGCCATGAAGGATGATGCTCGGCGATTCGACGACGGACTTGCCTAACTGTACGTCCAATGTAACTAGCTCCACAGGAGCAGTTGAACTGGTAAATGCACATAGAAGAGGAGAAGTCAGGGAGTCTGTCTTTAGTTCGTGTGTAAGAACCTGTTCGCAAAATCTTTCTACGATAATTAATCTTTGCTTTAGCTAACTGTCTTAATTACCTGACCAATTATCACCTTCTTGAAACTTTGAGATTGATAACCTTTCACTGAACAACTCTCACCACTAGATTGGTATGTAATTTTACGTTTGAAAATGCTATATTAGTGTAGAGCCATTGATGAGGAACTAATGGAAAAGAAATATTTCTTCGCTCGCTCACATTGTTTGTTTTACTAAATGTCTAAATGGGAATTTTTGCATTACGTAAATATGTTTGTTGATCCCTGACTGACCTGAATACCAAGCTTCTTTGGCATTTTTTGTATTTCCTTATCCAAGACTGCCCCGTTTTCCCAGTCAATTTCATGTTGACAGTTGTCCGTATTCATTAATGTTATTGAACATATGTCGTGACGCTTCACTCCTAGTTGGTGTTCATGTAGAGGGATACGAAGAGGGAGATCACTCTTTTCAATGTAATGTTTCTCGCCCTTTTCCTGAAGTTCATTTTGTAGGTAATGTTTGGTTTGTCTTCCTTTGCTAATATATCTTTTGGCCTATATAAGAGAGTAAAGTGATTTTGTGGCCTTTGGAAATACAGCCATTTCAAAAGGCTTCAATAATCTGGTCATAATCTCGAAGAAATTCTTTATGTAGAGTAGGACAATCCATTGCGGTGTTTTCGAGCCTGACCACTTGGTTGATGACGAATTATGTAAACATCTTTTCAAAGTTGCATAAATAGTCGTTCTTCCGGGAAACAGTTATTAAGCAGTTTTTTTTCTGCCGCTTGGTTGGTGTACCACAGTGTGTTTTTCTATTTTCAAACGGTGTTTTTATAAAACTGATTCTGTTTGCTGTTAGATTAAAGCTATTCTAGTTGAAGATCTGATGCATATGAGTTGATTTCTTATATAATTCTGTTTCCAATTTTCCCAAATTTGTTGTAGTAATCAAAATACCTAAAAATGCAAGTTTTTTTATTTGATTCCTTTTCAGTTGTGAATTTAATGTCGTCAAAAATGTTGTTGAGTAATTTGTAATCGTTTTTCTA